ATGTGTAATGAGGTGGTTTATTATGTTCGGAAGTTAAAATTAAAGTTAATGGCGACACTCTGTACTAGTCTTGGCCAATAGCGAAAATTAGCAAATGATATCCAGAAAATAGGCTTTGATTCATTGTGTGATGATTTGTCTGCGTTAGGGAAACGAACAGAATTGCTGGTCAGGCGGTCAGCTCAAGTACAGACAAAATTCGTGTGCAAGAGTACACGTGAAACAATTTTTGAGGATACCGTCAAGGCTATCAGCAGAAATAAAAGTTAAAATAAGAAAAAAACAAGTGAATGACAAAAGGTTTTTCTTGCTTACCTGAACAGTCCGTAAAGACCAGTAAAGTGTCTTGTCATTTTGGCGGCCAACATTTTTATGTGACTGTACTATTAAATTATTAATTCATGCTTTAGTCATCTCATTTTGGCTGTATTTTTAACTTCAAAATCTGCCAGAAAATCTTGTTTCTTTTATTTGGCCTGAAGTATATTAGAGACAGACACTAATGTTAACTAAAAGTTCGTTTGGAAACATGAATGTAATCATTTGGTTAGCTTAGTAGAGAACTTGTCGTTCCAGGTGTCAAAGAACACGCAACTCTAGGTGAGAATCTCTCGAGTGTCAGCTGCTGAGTTATTTATTCAAATATAGATGTCTTTGATGAAAACAAAAAGACATCGGCAAAAAGCAAAGTGTTTTTTTTTGTACTATTTAGTATCTATTGCTACAGTTTTAAGATTTTGGGAGATGATTTTTACATCATTCTTCCAGTTCAGGCTTTGGAATGAATCATAGTCACATCGGTGAAATTCATGAGATCTTCATTCTATAGTCTGACATTCCCGACAAGTCTTGTAATCTCTTGAATATTTTTTTTTTCCGAAATACTATGAAGAACTAGACATAATATTAACAAAAATATATTGTTGACCTAAGTATATGTATTTTATTTAGATCCAGTCTCAATCGAAAATTTGAGATTAGCTGCAGAGGCCAACGTTAAACACTCATTTTCAAGTCAACAATACGGACAGGTGTCAGTTTTCATTTTTCCTATAGTATTAGGGCGAAAGTACAATGATAATGACGCTAATTCTTAATTATAAGAAATTGTTTTAGTAAATACGCATCTAGCTCCAAATGCACCCCACAAATAAATTAATTCCTTCGAAGGCTTAAGGCAAAGCACTATGCAGTGAAAAAAGCCAAAATTAACGCTTGGCGCCTATAGTGAACTGGTGGTCCACGACGCGCTAAGAAGTTCTTTTTAGACAAAAGCGGACTCGTGAAGACTGAGTACCTACCGAACGCGGTTTTGTTCATTACTTTTTCCACTTGCGCCTTGGATACAAAAATAAAAGGAAAAGAACCAGCGAAACTAAAGGAAATTCAGAACGCCTAATAATTTAAGAATCTGGAACTCACAGCTTGCAATTTATGGTAAGTTTCACATTGAACTAACTATTCCATCAATGTAGAGGATTTCCTTACTTCTTCTGGGCTTCTGCTTTGACCAAAGGCTCTATACTCTATAATGAGACAGCCCCATACGTGTGCCTTGTGTTTTGTCGGGTTAGGGAAGGAAGTGTGACAGTAAAATAATAGAGATCTTAACAATGACCTTTACGGCAAACAGGGAGGGGCAAAATTAAACTCTTGCCGTCTCTCTTTTAAGAAAGATGGCTTAAAAGCCGTTTTTACTCTTGGGTAGGGAGAATAATTGCATTTGCTGTGAAGGAAAGATTTTTTTCATTTTCGTTTTTGTGTTGTATTGATATATTTAACGCACCTGATTTAATAATTCGAGGAGAAGGAGTCAAAATCAGAGCCAAGTTTACGGTTGATCTTTCATGTAAGCATTTTTCTTTAACACTATATTTGAATATAAGTATATAATATTTTAAATTGACAGTTATTACATTGGTTTTAATTCTTTAACGCTTTAAGAACGATAAAATTTTAAATTGCAAGCAGTGCGATAATTTGTGGAATTGCAGTTATCACGATAAGGTCAACTTCTTTTGTAAAGTTTTTAAAAAAATTCCCTGGAAGGACGTAGTTCAGAGTCAACGTAAATTGTCAAACCTTAGGAAAGCTCTAAACCGCCAATGTTGAATTTCTTTTCAATGATTACTCGACGGACGACGGTTCATTGTGTTCCTTTATTTCCAATCTTTTGAGAATTTGAACTCTATATAGACAGTCAAAGCTCTCTATTTCTTGAGATTTAAAAGTGTTGTACGCTGTGGCATGTTTTCAATGGAGATTATCCTAGTGATCGCCACGATCTGGCTGGAGATTAGCCCGGGAGGGCGTGGGAAAGAGGTACTCTACAAAGTTCTATACGGGAAGCTCCTCCCCGAGGTCCAACCCCTTACCCTTTTGTATTCCATTTTGACAGAAAAGGTACACCCTTAACATGCTTTCATAAACGGCCAGTATTATGAAAAAGTCACCAGAAAAGGAAACCTTCTTGTCATTTTCATGTAGTGCTTAGTAAATTAAGTGATATAGCCATAAAATGTGTCTGCTGAAAATGTCTTAATTGAAGGCCCTTAATTAACTAAATGACATATTTTCCTACCATTTCATAAACCTCAACTTGTGAAATCCCCACCCTGTTCTTTCGGGCGGAGCCTCCCCGTATAGGCTATAATAGGGAGAACCCCCCGGGGGAGAGTAGCTTTAATATGATCGATGCGATTGCTTAGATTCGGTAATGTAGTGATCGTAGTGTCACATCGAGACCAGAGCACAAAAGACTTTTTGTAGTGCAAACATCTTTTATTAGCGTTCTGCTTGACAACAGATTTCTCTAAAACAGAAAAATGGGTTTCATTTATCCTAAGCTTAAATTTGATCTGCTGCTTCAGCAGGTTTTGGTTGTCGCTCTGTTCCCTTTCAGCCCTTCTAACCGCAACAAGCAGGGGCTGCAGGTGGTCCGGGTGGTCCGGGAGGACCTGGGGGCCCAATAAGTCCTGGGGCGCCGTTAAGTCCGGGGCATCCCTTAAGACCGGGGCATCCGGCAGGTCCGAGTGGTCCCATAGGTCCTGGCGGTCCTGGTGGTCCAGGAAGGGCAGGTTTACCAGGAAGTCCAACTGGTCCGGGTGCTCCGACTGCCCCTGGGGGTCCCTTCCATCCGGGGCATCCAGTAGCTCCAGGTGGACCGGCGCAGCCAAGAGCTCCAGGAGGACCGGCTGGTCCAGGAGGTCCTGGTAGAGGTGCCGGAACAGGAGGAGGTGGTGGTGGTGGTGGACAACACCGCTTGGAAGCTAAAAAACACATTTAACAAATTGACGTCAGTTTTTTTTTATGCGTCTGTCCTCTTGTTGATGATAAATTGCGTCATAACATTGTCAAAGTGGCTGCGGAACCACGAGCCTGACATCAATTTGCGTTTTACCATAACAAGACCCCAAAATGGTCAAATGCCGGGAATAAATGAGGGGAAAGGACGCCGTAAACTTGCCGTAAACAAAGATAAGTGAATTTTATTCAAAATGACGCGAACATTGTCAATAGCTTTTCTCGCTTTTTGATTGATTTGGTCACAGTAGGAAAATTTTGCTTTCGTGCGATGACTTTTATTTTCTTTATTATTTGCCTCTATTTCGCATGAGCATTTTAAGGTGTCAAGTGATACTCGAGACCGAAGGACCGAATTTAGACAAAACCAGCGGGTCCAGACCCAAACGGGACTATTTGGATTCCCGCTGAAATCATGCCCTTTTGTGAGGTACCCCAATCGCTGATTGTCAATCCTTCCTTGCCTTCTCTACCAGAGAGAAAACAAGCCAAAGAGGCGGCCCAGTCGTCTCTTATTTGTAATCTCTTTTTAATAACGAGAGACGAAACGCGAGAGAGCAGTGCGTGTGGAGAGAAGTAAGTTTATCTCGTACCCCATCTTGAGGATGCGTCTGGAGAAATAACGCGATCTTGCGTGATCCCGCATACGTTCCCGCGCAAACTTGTGAAACGGTATTCCCGCGAGTTTTTTCCGTGAGGTGTTCGTGTACAAAACGAGATTCCACATCCAACATGGCGGTGGAAGCGGGTTTATATGAACCTATTTTGAGGCCAAAGCTACGACAAAGACGCCACTTATGTATCATTTGTGTTTTTTTAAACGCATTTTACTACGTCTGGTGGGATTTGGGGGCAGAGAAAAGATCTGCAGTGCCTGCAAAACACTGAAATAGAAACCATGTTGGCAATTCCTGGCTAATGCAAGACTCCTACTAAAGGTAAGCTAAAGCATAAAAGCTGCTATTTATCAAAGTTTATAGTACTGTTCATTGCTCACTTTTTAATCCCTAGGTAAGCATTTAACTTGGTTGAATAAAATACTGCTAGTGCGTTTTGCTCTTTGCTCCGCGGGAAATTCAAATTCTTATACATCTTGCACGCGCGCCGTTGCTTTGAACAGAAATATTGGACAGTAATGTTTGTTTGAGTTTGTAGTGAACAAAAGTGAATTCCAACTCCTTGAAAGATCGTTTTAGAGTACACTAGAGGTGCTAAAAGATGCTAGAAGGTGCTAAAATTCTTTATTTTAAACAGAAAGGATTGCAAGTAGTGTGCACGTGGCAAAACAACAACAGCAACAACGGGCATAAGAGTGAAATAAAGACAGGTTGTTTTGAACTTCTGTAAAACTGTTGTATTCCTTTTGTGAATTACAAACTCACGCTGAAAATGAACTAGCATACAACGTGTCCTGTGATCATGGCCCTCTGTGCTAAATAAGATTTTTTGTCGAAAAAGCTTAAGGTCCAGCACTTAGAGTTTTGATTGGTCATTACAACCACTCTCTATCACTTGATGCTATAATCATGGTTTATTATATGGCTAGCTCCATTAGCCAGCAAGATGAATCAAATCCTGTGCTGTGATTGGCTACTCGAGCGGGCAAGATGGAGCTATCTTGCCTGCTCGGGACTACCCACCATGTCCCGCAAGAAAAATTTCCCCAAAAGCCATATAATAAATCCTTTATGGACCAAGCTTGTTCGGTCAAGATGGCTGGATATTAGCTTCGTTCTTTTCTGCGAGTTTATGGACCTCAACTCCATATCGGTCCATAAACACACAAAAAAAGAACTTGGCCAATATCCAGCCGTCTTGACCTCACACTTGGTCAATAACCCTTACATCATAGAACTGCTCAATCATTGGTGAACACGTTATCATTTTCTTGACACAATAGGTTACCATAGCAACAGTATGAAAATTTAAGGTGGCTCTCAATCCTATGTGCAGAATTTTTTTGAACTTTGCCAAAAGTTGCGTCTTATCATGCTTATCAAAATTTGAAAATATAAAAAAATTTTACTGTGCTGATTTTGAGTTATAAGTCCCTAAAGTTATAATTAAGGGTGTTTTGTTTGTGGGAAAGAAGCAATTTCTTAGCATTGTCAAAGGGCCACCAGTGGCCCTTTGAGAATGCTAAGAAATTGCCTCTGTCTCACTCCCCAAAGTTTTCTGGTCTCCATTATGTTAGTTCATTTTCATATACTAGGGGACATAAATTTTAAAATTTAAGGTGGCTCTGAGTCCCACATACATTTCTTTTTAAACTTTGCCAATAGTTGTATCTTATCCTGCTAATGAAATTTCAATAATAAAAATGGGGTCACTGTGCTTGTTTTTGAGTTATTAGCAGTTAAAGATAAATTTAAAGGTGTTTTTAGCAGGTTACACTGTTGCTATGGTAATCAAATCATTATTATCAGGTCTGCATTGCCAAGAATTTCACACTTACTGTGTGTATCTTTGTTGAATGTCACAGTACATATGTAGCCAAAAATGGACAAGTCTAAATGGGCATTGTACAATCTTGGATGGATATTTCCATGAACTTGGACAAGGCATTAGTCTGACAATATGGTGGACAAGTCTGGATGGTTACTAGTAAGACAAGCCTGATGGACAGTGGGATGGAAAGTCAACAAATCAAACCATTTAGACCAGGTAAATACATTCTTTTACTCCCACTGATACACTCTTTGCCTGGCATCGAGACTGCAATCCATCAACACTTTCTGTTCAACCAAAAATTAAGAAAACAAAATAACTTTTTATAGGGAACTGACATCTTAGTGAGAAGGTTTGAAAATTTGAACTTTTAGGCAGGGATCCAATCACCATTATTATTTAGTTTCTCCTATATAGATCAAAAATAAAATTTTCTTTACCTCGTGCAGTCTTTTCTTTGGCCACTTAGAATTCAGGGAAACTGGCCACTTAGTACTTTAGTTAATATTTAGCCCTGACTATACAATAGGTCTTATTTTGTCTCTGAACATAATTTTTTGATGACTATTATGGTTGGCAGTTTATGTGTATGTGCATGTGTATATTGGGAAGAACAAATTATTTATTGATTGATTGCTTTTTCCAACAATAATTAATTGGTCTGAGTTGCAAATGACTTCACACCCACGAATCTCTTTTTAATATAGTCAACAATGGACAAGGCTGGATGGATACTTTGACTTGGACAAGACACTGGTCTGGATGGAAACTGTGACATTAACCTGACTGTATGGTGGACAAGTCTGGATGGACAGCAGACAAGACTCAATGGACAGTGGATGTGCAGTGGATGGATGCTATACACTTGGAGATGCCTGGATGGAAAGTTAACAAGCCAAACCATTTACTAGGTAAATACACTTTGTCACTTTGTTTCACCCTTAGCCTGGCATTTCTGATTTGGGAAATCAAAGAAATGTAAGACAAGACTTCAATCCAACACTGCTTCCTGTTCAACCAAAAAAAAATATTCTAGAGGTCACTGAAATGTTTTTTTAGTAGGTACATGTAGGTTAAGTCTGCATACAAGCCAAATTGCCCATCAGGCCGGAGATTATCTCAGTTTCTGTAGCATAAAGCGACTAGAAACATTTCTACCAGTACCTATTTATGCACCTGGTTGGAGAGAAGCACTGTCAGAGTTAAGTGTCTTGCCCAATAACACAACACAATGTCCCCAGCTAGGACTCTTTCTTTGCTTGGCTGGCAAATATTTAATTGTTCTTCCGATCTCTGAACTCGCTGCGATGAAACAGCCAAAGAATCCACTTCATTTGCCTAAAGCCACAAGAAATACTCGCGAAATTGCAAATAAATTAGACTGTCTTGCAAAGTAAACATGTTCTTATTTGTCATGTAGCGAAAGTGGAAGCTGCAATGTCAGCGCATTCTATGGCCAACGTAATACCTTTTTTAGCGAATTTATTATTCCCTTCAAATCCAACGCTTCGATAAAACCAAAAGAAAATATATTTCAAACACAATAAAGAAAACAGTATCCATAACATTGTCTGTGTATTAATGTTTCAGCAGCTTTTGGCTAATAAACATCACAAGTTGCGTGATTCAAAATTTGGCCGAAAGGAAGTTTGGGTCTGGTCACAGACAAAACTAAAAAAAAAAAATAATTAACCCTGTGTAAACCAAGAACTGCGCTCGGCCCATGGCCACGTGGTTAAGAAATGCTTGTAAGAAATGTTTTAAATGTTTAGTCAGGGAACCATGTTCATCTTTTTCCAAACTTGCACTCTCAACAGTGTGCTCGTATGATTTATGATTTAGAATATATTATAACGTGGTGTTTTGAAACAAAGTTTTCAAAATTCAATCTGGCAGTTTTTTCCATGCATTGAGTCCAGCAAACACTGTAGCTAATGTTTGTTAAATCAACATTGCATTCAAGTTTGGTATCACAACTTATTAAGCTTGTCATGCCACTCAACTCTAGTCTGATGTTTGTTCAAATGTCAAGCTACAGTTGTCCTGAAGTCAAATGTTATTTTTCATTTAAATTTTGACATTATGATGAGACATCTCAAGCTTGACATTTGAACCAGGCCTTAAATGTAAATTTTTCTTGTCAGTCCAAGGATAGAGTGGGACTGTACATGTAGTTTCTTTTTCTCATATGCATTATTTTATGTCAGATCCATGGAAACCAAAAGTATTCATTTGATTCCAGTTTTGCAGCCCAGTTTTGTTTGATCAAGCTACCAAACCAGTGAAAAACAATATATTTTGTTGGTGACTTAATGTATTCCCAATGGATTTTGGAAAAGACAAAGATTAAATCCATACCACAGCTGGGACAAAATCTGTTTGTCTAGCTCTCTCTTGGATAATAACTAAACTGATCAAATGCTTGTTTTATCACAGGTTGCTAAACTACATTGGTTGTACACAGACAGCATCCCAAGACTGCAGGAGATTGGGGAAAGGGAAACAGGCAAGAACTGGAAGGCCAAACTTAGAGATTGATTGGAATGACAAGATGTCAAGATGATTTATGGCTAATGGTATTAATAAGTAAAGGTTCTCTATTTATGATTTAAAGTAACAATATTTTTATTACTAAAAAGATACAACATTAATGGTATATGACATACATGAATAGAGTGGTTTTACTTAACCCGTGAAATAGATAGTGGAATTTTACATGCCACAGCTTCCTATTAGTTCCTACTATTCCCCTATAGTTAGTAATTATTTTGTTTTCTAGTCTTTGTTTTTGCATACCATCCACTAATACTAATTGGCAGACAATATTACACACTAACAAGTAGTTTCTTTTTCACGGGTTCAGAGAAAATCACTCTATAATGGCATGAATTGCTGCCATTTTTCTTTATTTCGTGATATCGATGCAAACCTCTGAATGTAACAAAGCATGCAACTTTTTTTCCAAATTAATACTAACAAAAATTCGTCTAATCCTGGGATTGAAAATATTAAATTCAAATGTCACTTTAAATGAGGCAAAAAAAATATTTTCATTGGTCTTTTTTTTTCTTTGAAAAAATAGAGAAGATCTTAATAATAGATTACATTTCTCTCCATAGAATTATTTTAGGTTTTCTAATTTCGAAACAGTTCTCAAAATGAAACTCTTGCAAATATTTGTGCAACATGCACAGGTATTGTGTATGCACAGAGTACTCTTTTATGTGCATGTTTACTCATTTTGTGGGCATTAACTCTGACTAGCTATTTAACTTAGTATTAAACTTTATTTGGCCCAGCCCGGGAGGCCTTTGAACATGGGGTACAGCTGGCCTGGGGTTTTCCTCCTAGTGCAAGTGGACGTAGAGGGAGGTTTTTCACCCAGCTGTTGTTCCACAACCCCAGTTCTCATTTACTATTGTAAGCATATTAGTTTTTGACTGACCAGATTTGTGTAATTAAAACTTGGCATTGGTTGCACTGGCTTGAAACAAGCAAAACTGACTCTTAATGCATGACACGCACAGCCATTAAACTAAGAACAAACACCACTCAACAAGCAACTGCATAGACTCTACAAAATGACATATTAGGCAACAAATTGAAAACTTTAACTTCAAACAGAACTAATAGATTTTGACTTACAAACAATACTTTAACAATACATAGATTTAAACTGACAAATGACTGTACTACATTTGCACAAGTCTGAGCTGCCAGCAGCAGCACTGTACATGAACTACCACTTATCAGTTTCAAAGGACCAAATACTATACATGAACTTTAAAGTTACACCATCAACTGACAACAATGTTTCACTTGACTCCTGAGTGAAGATGACTGCTGCTCATGTCCAGGTTGTCAAAACATCAGACACCAACAAATGTCCTTCACACACCGGATGAATAAACCAACAACTCTGGAGTTTAATCTTCATCTTGTTCGCAATGGACTTGTACTGGAAACCCTCTGGAATACTCATCAAGAGGTCTTTCAGATGGTCAAATCCCACCTGTCACATGTAGCAACTGACAAAACTTAGACAAACGACTCCTACAGAAGGCAAAACTTCTACAGCTACAGATGACTGACAACAGCTACTTAACAGACTTAGAGAACTGATACTAACTGGCTTCATATTGCCTACAAATGAGCCGGCATAACAACAGCCCTTGGTTATAGTGAACACAGACAAAAATTGACATGACATAACTTACATGGCACTCTCCTATGGACTAAAAAAATTGTGTAACTAACTGCACTGTTGAGGTTTGTTTTGTCTCTCCAGTGAGACCTGTTGGAACCAACCAAGGATACATAACATCAGAAGCAGAATAGCTTCCAATCTACAAGCAGACTCTAGCTATGCTTAACGACAACTTGATGAAAGATTAACAAAAAGAGCTGATACTTAGACCAGCCGTTATGGACTTGACTGCCTACTGAACGACTTTGCCGATGACAAACAAACCCACAAACTGCTTATACAAGACCTGACTTCAATACCTCATTGCACACATAATAGGAATCCAATGAAGCTCAAAAGACTGCCATTAACATAGAAAACTACCAATATTTACAATACTCTTTACAACAACTGTCAAAACATTACAGACTACCAAACCTACAAAAACTACATTTACATGCAGTGCAACCCATAACCCCACTACTCAACGATGAGCATTATTCCAAGATCATTTAAACATGTAGGTGTGTGTGCCACCATTGCTCAAACAAGTGTCTTTTTTGTGTTGCAACTGACTATTGCCCCAGCGGAATGTTCAAGTGATTAACATTGGGTTATTGTTTGGAGTGACAGGTCTTTGTTACAGTATACTGTTTTCACTGCAGTATGTGTTCTACATGTTTTATTTTCTTATTTTGTTAAGTGGTTTCTAGACATACCAACAGAAGAGACAACTTAAATTCAGCAGTTTTGTATACAAAGAATGACATCCAATCCTTTGGTGCATGGTTTACTGCCATGTGCATAGTTATTACTAACAATTTTGACTGATTGCTAAGTATTCTTGGAAAGCAACTATTTTTTCTTCCTTTGAAGATATTTTATTTAACCATTCTAATTCAACAGGAAGTTCTCTTGAAAAGCCAATGGTATATATTTCTGATCTTCACTGTGAATCGGCTCAATTTTTCTCATTCTTGAAAATTCAATCAGCGCAATGAAACATGGAAAACATTTAAGACTCAGTGGGTAAAATGTTATTTTAACTGGCAATCAGCAATCAATCCATCTGGACAATCAACTTCATAGGTTTTGAAACAGGGACAAGCAGAATTCTTAGACCAAACAACATTACACTTTATGATGAGCGACAAGCTTATCTTTCATAGAAATTTTTTTCTTGATACATTCATACGTGTACATGTACTGTTGTGGGAACTACATTTCTGCAGTAAAGACCTCTGACTCTAAGCAATGAACCAGTTACTCACAAAGGTTCAGCTGATTCATATAGCATCCATTCCATTCGGCTATTTTGAACACATTGGTAAATATTACTTTTGCACTTGTTTGTTCAATTTGAGAATAGTTTGAATACTCAAGCATAAGAGTCCTCTGAGCAGTGGTTTCCTTTTACCCTTATGTGTAGAGTCCAGATAAGTAATATTTATCATTTAATAATTGTTTTAAAAGCCCCCAAAGTATGTCAAAAATTAATGAAAAAACCTTGTTGAGCTCAACCGTGAGAACCATAATTACCAGCATAGAAATTCTCCTCACCTGTCATAATTCTTTTTTTAAGGTTCTAATTTATTCCTTCCTAAAACAAAGGCAATTTTTTTAATGCTCACCTGAAATGTGTAGCTGATACTGTGAGGAGAAACTAGTAACTGATCTCTCTTTCCAAATGGGGCTGAAGGATTA